TTAATTATCGCGCATGGTATTTACATCTTCAGTAGAAAATGACAAATGTTTTTCATATTTTGCTTTACTATATTTTTAGTTTTCAGTATTATTCATTCTGATTCATTAATCTTCAACTGTTGTGATGATGACCATAAGCCCTCTGTTATTAAATCTTTCCTTGGTCACCTTATTTAGTAATCAGTTATTAAATGCAATTAAGCCCAAGATCAAGTAGTCCTTTGTTTTTGTGAGCTTCGTCTATAACAGAAAAATTAAAAATAGAAAAGTAATATCTTTAATATAGAATTAAGGCAGAAAGGTATTTGTCCTCCTAAAACAGTCACAATGGGAAATCAAATAGTTGTGTTTTGTATCTTTAGGAGGTCTGCTGATTGTTCAATAAGATAAAGACATTGACTTTTAGCAAGTTTAGAGATAGTAGATTATGTTGTGATCAGTAAATACGAGAGTTGACTTTTTAATTTATGCTTGATCCTTAGCCCATCTTCTTTAACCGAGTTTTTCCTTTTTATGTCTATTTCTTTTTTCCTTTTCTTTTCTGCTTTCACAGGTATTTGGGCAGGAATGCGTACTGTTCGGTACTTTGATGGTAAAACTTATGAATGGGTTGGTATAAGCCGGCAGCCTAATATCATGGGAAAAGTAAGTGGACTTGCGCCATTTTCTTACAATATTTTGTCTCCCAATCACGATTTGATCGTTGTTAAANAAAAAAAAAAAAAAAGAGGAACTTTTTGCTCTTCATTTTATTTTCCAGGTTAAAAGAACACTAGGTCAATTTACACCTGCCAGGTGGGATAAAGACGAATGGCATCCCCTTCTTGGCCCCTTTCGATTTATTCAAGTTTTGAGCCTTTGCATTATTTTCTTGACTGTGGAACTCAACACGTTTTTTCTCAAGTTTTGCCTTTGGATTCCTCCTCGAAACCCTGTCATAATCTATAGGTTGGTTTTGTGGTGGCTTATAGCAATACCCACAATTCGTGAGTACAATTCGTACTTGCAAGACAGGTAATTTCTGATTCACCTGGCCATAATAAATGTAGTTTTTTTTTTTAATATTTTTTTTTATGTTTTAGTGAACTAGCTTTTCAGTTTCTGATCTTTTACTTTACTGAACGATTGTTTTCAGAAAAACAGTAAAGAAAGTTGGAGCATTTTGCTGGCTCTCGCTTGCTATTTGCATTGTTGAGCTCCTTATTTGTATTAAGTTTGGACATGGTAAGTAATCTATTCAGCTGGCGCTTGTTTTAGTTACTATTATTTTTTTTATAAACAAATTCGTCTACGAGACGACCTAACAGACAGACAGATCAACCTTTAATACATTCGTAACAAAAATGCATACTTTTTGCTATGAGATTTCATTCTTTTGTTTATGTTGATCTTTTTAGAGTATGACATTTTTAGTTTGAAAGTATAGTTGTCTAACCATTAGGTTTATGCAGTAAGTTATTGTTCATGTATATGTTAGATGGTTTTCTTAAATTTTTTATTTGTTTGATTCGGTACATTAACAAAATTTTTTTAATACAGTTTCTAAAAAATTTCTATGATTTTCCAGGATTATTCCCTAATTCAATGCCCAAATGGTTGGTTGTATTTTGGTCGTTTGCTGGGACTGTGATTGTCATTTTCTTGGCTGCATGGTCATGGCAACAACTGCACAGATCAATAAAGAGAAAGCTGCAATAAATTTCTATTTTGTGATCCCACATTCTTAGATCTTTACGGTTACTATTATATTTTTGGTTCGTTAACGTCATATGTGTAAATACCCACATTTTTAGTTTTGTATGTATATATGTTTTCAACTGTTGTAGCTTGTAGGTTACATCTCTCATATATTATCAAACTTTAATTCTTTCAGTGTTGGTTGTTGTTGAATGTCAAAATCTTTCTATGTTCCTCCCTATGTAGCTGTATCAGTTGAAACAGAGAATTAAGACAATGAGAGCACATTTTTTCGGCACATGTTTGGCATTTTTTTTTGCAGATTTTTCATAACATATTAATGAGATTAGGCTAAAGTGTCGGTTGAGGAGATAGAAGGATAGAAGTTTGAGTTTGGCGACCTGTGTAAAATCCTAAAATCACTGGTTTTTGTATTTGCAATTATGTGTTAGTTTGTAAACCTCACTTAGACTTGACCTAATTACAAAACAAACTAACTGTATTTTAAAACATTGCTTTCACTCAAAAACAAGCAATTACCATTTACCACCAAAGATAAAAAACTTTTGTCTCAGGTCAAAATGCATCAGCAATTTTTCCTTTCTCAAGCTCTTGAGCTGCAAACCATTTATGGTCCTTTCTCAGATGCTTGAAAAACGCACTATATGTATAAGCATCAGGTTTAATAAGAGTTTATTATTATTTTAGTATTTAGTAATTTTTTTTTTAATTGATGTGGTTCGCTTAGATGGCTTATTGACGGCCACGGGCCACATCAGCTTTGTTGAAAGGAGTTGCTAAATTTCCTTAATGACAGTTTTGATACATATAAACCTCATATTGATAAAATTTATCTTTCAAGACCCGAATTGATAATTCTCCTATCTTTCAAGTCTTGTACCGATAAAACTCCGATTAGCATTTGTTAGCTTAGACAATGGATATGATAAACTTGTGCGGTTTCCAATTTACCCCAAATCATAAACAAATATATCCATAAATTTCTCAAAAAACTAAAAATTAAAATCATTTTTATAATGACGGACTGTCTGCGGTTTGTCAATACCCACAACATGCGCGGTCCAATTCGTTTAGGCCCACTTTTTGGTGAGCCTTTAAAACATCAGCCCAACCCTCCTATTAAGCGTGGCGGGTGGTCCGACCCTCAGGTCCAGACTTGTTTTGACACTCGAGTGGACTCGTCTGTTGGCTCGCTGATATGTTTGTAACCATAGTTATATTACTAAATAAAAATCTGAAATACAAAAATACAAACCAAACGGCTGAAACTAAAAAAAAGGCCGAAAATCTTATCGCCACGTGTCAAGCTATGATAGGCGTACAGGGAAAACGGGCTCCACCCTCGCGGGTGGCCTCGACTTAACCCCAAACTTGGCCCGTCGTCCCCGGCGGCGCTTTCTAGTCTCTTCCTGCCACCGTGCCACGGCTCAAAATTACACACCCCATAACTTCCAAAAATGGCGGCTGCTATTCACTTGTCAATTTCAACTCCGAGCCCTAATTTCCGTGCGCCTTGCCGCACCCTCCCACCTCTCCACCCACCAATGACCATCGCCAAATTCCAACCCTTACGCCACCTCTCTCGCCGCATCCTCCGCCGCGGGTTCTCCGTCTCCGCTGCCGCCGTCCGGCAGGACACAACTCTCTGGACACCTGCACCGCTGCTAAAGATCTCCCCCGCCGCTGAATCGCTCTTCAACATCACCATCGACGTGTCGGATTCCCCAGAGCTCGCGGGCTCCTACACCAAGGCCGGCCAGTATCTGCAGCTCCGCCTTCAGGATCCCGACACCAAACCCGCGTTCCTCGCCATCGCGTCGCCGCCTTCGACCGCCGCGTCCAAGGGCGTGTTCGAATTTTTGATAAAGTCCGCCGCCGGATCCACCGCCGAGCTCCTGTGCGGGCTTCAGAAAGGCGATGTCGTGGAGTTGACTCTGGCCATGGGTAAAGGCTTCAATATCGATCAGATATCCCCTCCGGAAAATTATCAGACGGTGGTGATTTTCGCCACCGGGTCTGGAATTAGGTAAAAATAAAGAAATTTGTTTAACATGTTTCAATATGTTTTAACTCAATTGTGAGTGTTTCTTCAAGAGTTGACAGGAATTTGGGGGCTGGAATTGAATTTGGCTGTTTGATATTTGTCATCTTGTTTCTGGAACAGTGCACTTGTCTAAAAGTTCACCAGGCAATAATGTAATTTGATTCTTGGTTAACTGTATAAAAAAGTTGTTTGTCAAATTTTATCATATAGCTAAGAAGGAGATATAATGAACAGACTCTGATCTTGTTCATGAATTGGGCTATGCTATACTTGCACTGCTGTTCCACTTTTCTCACAACGAGTGTTATTGCTTGCCATGTAGTTGTATAGCTGATTGTTGTTCTGCATGTCTTCTTTATATTGCAAAATAATCGATATCAAAAATCGGTAACATCGATTTTCTTCTTATTGAATGTCAATTGCCACATTATTGCTGCCTTCTGCTTTTCCATGTTTCCTTATTGATAGGTTCATCAATCAAGCATTGCCTGCTGTCATGTAATAGGAAACTAGTTATCCTGGTTGCATGTGTACACTTTCTTTTTCAATTTTGTTCTTCTATTTATATTTATCTTTGTCATATATAGCCCAATTCGGTCTTTGATCGAGGCAGGCTTCAATGCTGACAAAAGATCTAATGTTAGGCTCTATTATGGAGCTAGAAGTCTTGGACGCATGGCATATCAGGTACTTGTCTCATGCTCGCTGTCCATGAGTTTCTTACTCTGTATATTTTTGTGTGAGAAGGGTTTACTGTGCTGGTTTTAAAATTTGGCTTGTTTATCACTGAGTTTTCCCTGTAAATATTTGTAGGAGAGATTTAAAGATTGGGAATCTTCTGGAGTTGATATTGTGCCCGTGCTGTCCCAGCCGGACGACAGTTGGAAAGGGGAGCGAGGTTATGTTCAGGTTGTTGACGCATTTTTTTTTATTTTTTTTTCTCTTTTACCTTCTTGAACATCTCTTTGGCTATATTCTCACGGCTATTGAATTTGTAGGCTGCCTTTAAGAAAGAGAAAAATATCATTAGTCCTCAATCCACTGGTGCGGTGCTCTGTGGTCAAAAGCAGATGGCCGAGGTAGGTGTTTGCTATTGGCTTATTGCTGGTCGAGTAACTGAGTTTAAATAATGCCTTTCAATATATTCTTATGGGTGTCATTATGGATAGTCTGTGTGTACTGTTAAGTCGTTCTTTGAGTCTTCAGTCGTTTGTGGTTTTTTGTGCAAACAAATTGTTGGGTTGGTCCTCACTTTCTACTAGTTTCTTATGCAATCAGACTTTTAGAGTTGGTGTTCACGAACATCCAGGATGTCATTGTCACACTATTGGTGATATCATACGATCAAAAGAGGAACATGCATTTGAACAAGAACAAAAAAAAAAAAAAAGGGTATTCCACACTTACACTACTATTATATGTTTAGTTGACCGCATCTGAAAAACACAACCAAGAACCTGAATCCAAATTGATGTCACATTGTCACCCAGGAAAGCCGGTTTAGTAAAGACCCAATAGGGTCAAAGATGTTGCAGATTCGAATGATTCTTTTCAACTCTAATATTTTTTTTTTCCTATGGGAGTAAATGACAAAATATCATGTAATTATGTCAGCCAATACAGGAAGGAAATTTCATTGCTGTTGTTCTAGATCGAACTATAAATAGTTGTAACCATGCGTTGCAATATCTGAATTTTACAGGAGGTGACTTCGCTTCTTGTAGCTGATGGTGTATCGACTGAGAAGATATTGAAGAACTTTTGACACCCACAAGTTTGGAGGTCACCATGTTGTATTATTTTTGCTTGATTTAGAAGCATCATTTATTTATTTCAGTTGATGAACGTTGAGAACCAGCTGAAAATCAGGAGTAGAATAAAATGAGTTATCGGCAAATCTTGGGTATTGCTGTTTTCTTCTTCTTTTTTTTTTTAANCATTCCTTAAGTACCAGTATTAAATGATTAAGAAATATTTCCGTTTTCAATATGCATTGTGAAGTCTTCATACTGGTTACATTGAACTCGAGCTATTAGTACAGGTTACTTTTTAGTTGTACGCACTGGACCAGTTAGCTTCATTTTTATCTATCCTGTAATTGTTTATTAACTGTGATTAACATTAATGCGGTGGTTTAAAAATCGGTCCATAGCTGGCCATTTTTTACGGCTAACATGTCCTCGGTCCAGTGTAGAATATCCAGAAAACCGGTCTTTGCCTGTATTCTTCTTCTTTTTTTTCCCAATTGGGTAATGAATAAGAAAAAAGAAAGGATTACCATATGCCCACGGGTAAGAGCCATGATTTTTTGGTAACATCAAGGTCAAATGCTGTAAGCTTAAGAGCATGTTTGTTTATAGAATTTTTTGGTTTTGTTTGGATTGTTTGGTTTGGTTTGGTTAATCTTGAAAAATGTGGTATGGTTAGTTGTTAGTGGGTATATTAAAATAATATTTAAAATAAAATAATTAAAATTGATTTGATGTAAAAGTATGAGAGAGGTGTTTGAAATGATGGTTAGTTAAAATAATGTGAGTGGATGAACAGTGAATTAAGCTTGATGTGGTGTGTATGAATGATTGATTGATATTATTTAATTATATTGATAATATATGTATCAAGCTACATATATATAACATTATACAGCAGGCTGTTGTTACATAATTTGGTTTTATAATATGGATTTCTTCTTTGCACTTGAAGTGGAGGGGATGCTATGTTTCTGTATCATTCCTCTTTGCGCTTGAGGAGGACAAATATTATTATTGATTTCTCATTGTCAGGGTTTAGGAACAATGGTGATGCCGCTAGCTTCTTCGTGTACCGCTCGAACAATTCATCCATGAGTTGGGTTCCAAAGTGATTCATCAGCAATCCTTCAAAGACGGCCCTGAGGTATGTTGCACGTGCATTGGCACTGGGCAAGGTGCGTTTCCCTGGATTGTTAAGTATTTCCATCCTTACAATGTTGAAGCTTTGGTTCCTCTCTATTATTGCCTTCAGTTCTTGTGGAACAGTAAAATACAATGGAAAGTTGAAGGTATCTACCTTTTCCTCGCTGACTATTCCCTACAATAGAGAAGAAGATATAGCTTTTTTTTAGCTTTACTGTCTTTCATCAGTATCATTGTTGAAGTTATTGAACTTTACCTGCTAGTGCAAGTCTAGTGGGTTTCCCATTTTTTTTAGGAAAAAAAAAAAAATCTTAAATACTTTGTTTCAAGGGATATGGGCTCGCGGGATTTCCCATTTTTTTTAGGAAAAAAAAAATCTTAAATACTTTGTTTCAAGGGATATGGGCTCGCGGTAGTATGCGGAAAGTAACTTATCGATTAAAAGTAAAGAAAAGTATTTAAAAAAAAAAATTTACTTTGTTTCATAAAAATATCATACCCTTTGAGGTTCATTCTGATTAAAAGTAAAGAAAAGAAGAAGATTCATATTTCTATTCACAAATAAATATTTTTATATAAAACTACACTCTGATGTCCTCATGGGGATGTTGTTGACTGTTGATAATCCATTATAAGGGTGTGTTGGTAAGATAGCCCTATAACTATTACTAATAATAAAACTCCTTCCAACTTTAAATCAAGAACAAAACGAGCATGTCAACTGAATATGGTACCTTCTCTGCCATGTCCACTAGGCACGAACCTATTAGATCCATTTCAGTCGGGGTCGTGTAGGAATTCCCTGAGATCTCAAAGGTGGGAACTGCAGGCACGAGTAAGGCCATAAGCCCTCCACCCACAAGTTCCTCTGCCCTAGCTCTTAAGAACGACTCAATATCATTTGCATAATGATTTGAATAGGCTTTGAAAACTTCCTTTCGTGCTCCCGTATAATGAACTCTCCCCTTATTCCAAGCTGGGGACTTACGGTCCTCCACAGCCTTAGGCACTCCCGAAAGCCAGTTAAGGGCGCAGGACGAGTAACCAAAATCGAGGCTGGCCTCTGGAAAGAGTCGGCCGTGAAAGGGCCCGGGTACACCCGCTGCGTGGTATTTTTTCCCGGGCGGGAGTGAGTGGAAAAGGGTGTTGAAATCGTTCATGACCTGATCGTTGAAGAACACTTGGAAATCTGGGGTTTGTGATGTGGGGCCCTCCATTTGGAATTTGTTCTCGATGGCTTGTGTGATGATTTGGATGGCGGGGAACGAGTTGTGTCCAGTCGAGCATCCGAAGTCCGCGATTCGAAAGGGTGTCGTTTGGGTTGAGGAGAGTCGTTTGGTGTCGAGTTTTGCGTTTATTTCTTGTTCGATGATTGGTTTTGCAGCGTCTATTACTCCTCTCTGTAGAAAAAAAAAATATGAGAAAACCGTGCATATAAGGGTAAATAATTTTTTGCAACATGTACTATACGTGTTTTTGGGATTTTCAACCTAAAGTATTTTTTTTTTTTTTGGTAAAATGCAACCTGAACTATATATATACAATTATTTGCACGCTCAACTACTTTTTGACTGTCCGATCATCCATAAAAAAGGACACTTGTATGGTCAAGATGTGGTCGTGCAAAGAGTGACTGTATATTCAGGTTGCATTTTACAACAAAATATACTTTAGGTTGAAAATCTCAAAAGCACTTATAGTACAGGTTTGAAAAAATTATTTACCCTCTACAAAAATATCTCATTTCTCTTTCAAAATTATTTAATTTGTATTTATAATGCAATTGACATCCTCCATAGGGGGAACCGGGGAAGTTTTTTACACATCCTTGGATATAATGTAATGCCAGTGCCTGAATTATTTATACAACAAAGAATAAAATTCTCTGAGGTGGTTTCTGTAATTATTTTTAAAGTTCTATACAGTTCTTTTTATCATTTTGTTACATGTATCAGTAAATATGTAACATACCTGGTAAGATGAGTTGTGGGCATAGCTATTAGGTCCTTCTCCACCATTCATGGCATAGAGGCCTAAAAGAGACTTTTCATCAATTTTGTCTCTCAGATTGAGCTCTACACTTTGCCTGGGCCTCTGCTCGGATTCTAATGGAAGGTTCAGTGTCACGCGGACACAAGTCCTTGGATATTGGAAACAATTGGCCGTGGGATTATGAGCATACAATCGAGCCATCTTCTCGCTGTGTACGTTTCTTGCTTGTATATACGTTTCTTATGAAGTCATATTTATAGTCTCACGCATTTTATTTTCACTCGGCCAGTTGCATTATTTTTCCTGCCAAATATGTTTTATATTTCATAAGTGTGCTGCTTGAGAAGGAAGGTTGCAATCAAATAGATGAAGAGTGAATTCTGTAAATAAAGAATTTATAATAATAAGAGTCACGCGAGATGGGTGAATAATATATTTTTTCTATTTTTTTTTTAATACATTTTTTTGTAAAATAAATTCTTTTGTGGGATGAAATTAAAATTCTTTATCCATAGGTCATTGTTGAGGCGGCAATTAAAATATTGGGCAGTTGGCGGTCTCAATCTGTAATAATGCAATGTAGTAATGATGCAATCCTAGGGGATTTCGTTGAAATGTTGAAGATATACTCCATTAAAATTGTTAAACAATTTCGTTTGACTTGATGAGATGCATTATGCAATCGTACAAGTGGGGATTAGTTGATCAAATCTTGGACTATTTTGAAGCACTAGAAATCAATAAAATTAGTGATATGCTTTGATTGTACAAGCGGATTAGTTGTTCAAATAATGAATATCATAATCTTGGATGAAACCACAACGGAAAATGCCATTGCCAAAAAGCGATAAGGTAACATTTCCATTTAATCATGAAAAGAGACGTCCTTTTTGAAGTCAGAATGGATTTTCTTTGATACCTAATATAATGAATGCAAGGTTACTTGACCAACCATAAGTTTACCTGGAAATCCTTAACCCTTCTAAAGACATTCACAAGACGTTCGATTTTTCCATAGAAGTAGATTCGTTCAAGAAAAACTCCAATGGGCCTTGATCGTAAATGAGAAAATTGGTTTATATAGAAAGAGAAAAATGGATTCGTATTCACATACATGAGAATTATATAAGAACTAATTCTTAATGCTTTCTTAATTCTTATAGGATAAAATAAAAATTTGATTGACCTTTTGATAGAATTGCTATGCATAGTGCGTGACTCGTTGGTTTTTGTTATTTATAGGATTAAAAAAGACCAACTCGGTAGTCTGTCTGACAACCAAAATTTTGCTTTATATTCAAACGAAATTAGATATTGTGGGGTCAAAAATGAGGAAGTGGGGGTAAGCTAGATTTAAGGTGACTATCCAAGAATTTCAATGTGCAAATCGTGGGCCCAGAGATAGATAGAGAGGTAGGAATTTCTCGAACGAACCGCACTCCTTCGTATACGTCAGGAGTCCATTGATGAGAAGGGGCTGGGGAAAGCTTGAACCCAATTCCTACTGTGATGAATATGGGCGCAATTGAAATTCCTGGGGAGTTATACATTTGTGTATTGATAAGACCATTCACTATTTCTTGAAGCTCGATCTCTCCCTTAGATAAACCATATAGCCAAGAGAAAGCATGAACCAGAATAGAAGAGCACCCTGTCATGTTTTTCCGCTCATTTTTTTTATCATCAAAATATCTTTCTATCAATTATTCTATTCGTTGGCTCTGAGGAATCATTGGCATTTTTTTAAAGTATTGGATGATAGAAAGGGAGTTCTTTGGTCTCAAAATCTCAAGAATATTCATTCCTTACCGAAAGAACCTTGAGGAAGCATAGATTATGAAACACACAAGACTTGAGAATTTTAAAATATCATAAGTTGACATTTATATTAAAAAAAAAAAAAAGACACTAAATTTAAATATAGGAAGGGATGACTTGGTGAAGTATAGCAAAATCCCACAAGACTTAACAGGGCAGATTTAGGAAAAAATTTTGGGAGGGGCTAAAGCGGTTATTATTAGACATATATATTTTCTTGCAAAAAATGCATTATTATACTATGAAATATCATACTTTTATTTGTATTACACTATAACAGTTAAGTATGAAAGTCTAATTATATTTGTTGGAAGAATGTGGTTGTTTAACTATTAACTAGCCAAGAGAAGGCCTACCGCGGTATTAATAGTTATAGAAATTCTATTTCTAACCATTAAATTGCATATGTTGAATGTTCTTCTATTCCAAATTTACGCTTTAACTTTTTAATTGTACATAAGTTTGAACACAAAATATTATAAAACAACAATAGACTTATAAGTTGATAGGGTACTTACAAAAATATTATAAGTTGATAGGGTACTTACAAAAATATGATGAAATTAAAACTGATTAGTAAATAGACTTATACAATAATTTGTAATAATTATGGGAATGCATATAAATTGAATATGTTTTATATACATATAATCTATATATATTAAAAAAATTATAAGTCTTAGAATATATATACATAAATATGTATTAGGCAAAATTAAAAGTTTGGGAGAGAACAATGGCCTCCCTCAGCATAAGGTGGATCCGCCCCTGAGACTTAATATTGTACAAGTTTGGCCTGTAAATCAGTTTCGATAATTCCAGTCGATCCTAAGCATTATGTAACTTTCTTTATAATTAAACTTGTTTTTTGTTCTTTAAAATCAAATATTTTTTTGGTTAATTATCTAGCTTAGCGTGATTTCATTTTTTTAACAAATGTTCTAATAATTCACATTTGTTTATTATCAATATTTAATAAAATTTGGACACATTTCATAATCGATTAAATATGACATACTTTGGCTTCATGCATTACAAATACAACCAGGGGCGGAGTCTCCTATAGTCAAGGGTGGGTCCTTGCCTAGGGTAATATTTTCATTTGTTTTATTTATATATGTAAACATAAATTTGAATCTAGTGAAAACTGCAACCAAGACCATAGATGAGCATATTTGAGTCAGGGGTTGGTACTTTATTAGAAGTGCTGCGGCTGCTGCCTCTCTTAATTATATTTTGAGTTTGAATAAACATATTTAATATTTCTTTAAGCCCATTTTAGTGGGAAACATCTATATCAATATTTTGTTATCCTCGTAAATGTTGATATGTGGATTTGTATCAACGGTTAATTGAAAGTTAAGTGTGGATTAAGAAAATGAGATTGTGAAGTAAAAGGAAGTTTGCTGATGGAAATATAAGATTTTGAATTCAGAGAAGTCAACCCTTGAGAAATTCGGGGTCGGACTCTGAGGTATTGTTATTCGAATTAATCACCAATAATCACAGTTTTTTTTATAATGAATGTAGAGAGAGAATTTCTAGAGAGTTGGGGAGATCTTTTCAACTCCCTCTAATAAATGAAGCCTAGGACTATTTATAGCTAAACATCCTCAACTATTGTTCATCTACTGTTCACCAGGTCCTGTCATACAATAAATCGTAATGACTGGAATTTAGATGAGATATGTTTGACTCTAAATGATGATTAGGAACCACTAAATGCTGATTGAAATGCCTTTAATGTGGACATGCCCCCTGCAAGTCTATAAATCGTAGGTCTTCAGGATTGTTGAGCTCGTCCATCGGTCTTGATCCTGAGTGCGTCTCGGAGTCTCGATCTCTTGGGTATTGGAGGTTGGACTTTATATCTACCTTGTTCGTGCTTCTACGTCTTCCGCTCCTAACTGGTTTGCGTTCGAAGGGCCGATCTTATGGCTGTTATGGCGAGAAGCCGACCCGAGTGTTTTGACCATGATCCTGCCCTGCCAAAAATATGTCGTTTTGGTGAATCTTCATGTCCGGATCGCCCAACGCTCGAGCGTCTAATACCAGGGAGCCGACCTGAAAACTCTGCTCTTGGGGGTCCTTAGTTATCTGTTAAATCGTTTTGTTTGGAGTGTATAAGCTTTGGACCCACATTCTCCAACTCGGATGCCAACAGTACATTAAAGGAACTAATTCACTTTAAATCTCTATTGGTATTGAAAAACTCTAAAAAAAATAATAAAGTGATGGAAACATAATTAAAAGTATAATAAATAGTATGTATTATGTCGGGGGTTCGGCCTACTTGGGTCCCCGTACCCAGCAATCTGGTTCACGAGGGAATCAAATAGGTCGACTGTGACTCGATCGGCCATGAGTGGTATGCCGAGGTACCTAAAGAGAGTCACGATACAGTCGTAAAAACATATGGAAAAAAAGAAATGTAAGAAAAACTATAAGAACAAAGAAGTAAGAAAAAAAGATGTGGAGTTAAAGCCATGAGATATTTTGATACAAATTTTCAATTAAATAATTTATTCCTTACCTATGTTATAAACCGGATATCAAATACACGGGAATCCTACGAACTGATATGTATTTTTCAGTTCTTATAAATAATCTAAAAAATAGAAAATTATAATCGAACTGAAAAATAAATTACAACTGAAAAATAAATTAAAACTTAAAAAACAAAACAGAAAGATTTTAGCCGAGGCGAGTAAAACTCTTTCCGCAAGAAGAATACGCCCCGTGTGGCAGGTAACGATTTAGGCGTAACTTCCCCAGAGATACAACGGCAAACGTCTCTAAATCTGTAGCACACCAAATTTACGAGCTCCGGCGAACTGGAACGGAGTCGAGAATTGAGCACTTAAAAATAGGAATAAAAATATCTCTCTTTTGTTATTTTGATAACAAATAAATATTTCTATATTTTTTTCTCTGATATTTTTTATCCCTCCAAAATTATTTTGGATTGATTTTCTTTCTTTCCTCTCTTTTTCTCTCTTCAGCCGTGTGTTTTTCTCTCTTTTTTCTGTGTATACATCAAATGATCTTATTGCTATTTATAGAGGGATTTTGATCAAGTCGCATAAGCCTTCACGCGTATTGATCAATTATGAGATGGTTGAAGTGGTTGGAATCTTAATAAACTATACACTCTTGATTGAAGTGGTTTGGGAAGAGAACAAAAACATCCAAGTGGCTCCATTTTTTTTTTTAATAAATTCCCAAGAGAGTGGTGGTTGAGAGGAGATGGTTGACTTCATTAATTAACACTCATATTGCAACAATCCCCCACATGAGTGTAAATTAAATATATTTACTATTGTGCTCAATCCTCACAAAACTCTATTGCATCAGAAAAGGTAGCTTTTGGCTTTGAACCTTTCTTTGTAAACATCATCGGATGCACTGGCGGCCTAGTGAACATAATGCCTTGAACTATTCCTCTATAGTCTACACCAAGACAATGATATTTACACAATAGAGCTTAGCTCCATTCCGTTCTATCGTTGTGTCCGTTTTGGCCATGGACAACACAATGGATTCATAAGTGTTTACATTTGAAGCGGCCCACACTTCACACTTATATAGGTGACCTCCCTACTAAGAGTATCCTGTTATACTCCACCTTAACAAGGTTAGGGATTCATTAAAAGTCCACATGACTTACCCTCACCACAATCAACAGGTCATC